ATTAAAAGATGAAGTACAATGGCTTCTTGAAAAGTTTAGTCACAGCACATATCATCGTGGTCTTCATGGTTGGACTCCATTACACTCTGCATCATATGGTGGACACATTGAGATCCTTCAACTACTCATCGATCAATATGGTATTGATCCTAATGAAGGTGATGATAATAGTGTATCTAGTATACATATGGCATCTTATAAAGGCCACTTATCTATAGTACAATATCTAGTAGACACGTGTGACGTTCCTCCTGATCAACCAGACAATAGCAATAACACTGCATTACTATACTCAGCAATGGGGGGCCATTCTGACGTAATGGAATTCTTTAATGAGAGAAATTGTAATACTTCTCAGATTAATAGTGAAGGTGCTTCTTTATCATTGTTAGCTTGTCAAAGTGGAGAGTTAGCATTAGTCCACAAGCTTGAATCATTAAACCTCTTCTCACCAGATTCCACTGATTTTTGGGGGTTCAGCATATTGCATTACTCCTCTATGAGTAATAATGTTGAGCTTTTTAAGTATCTTTTAAATCGATATCAATTATCCATTGAAGTAAAGCATCAATATGGTAGGACTCCACTTCATAATGCTTCATGCTATGCTTCATCATCAGTTGTTGAGTATATTGTTAGTATTCAAGGTAATGAAGCATTATTAGTTAATGATAATAATGGTAGGTCATGTTTAGATTATGCATGTGATACAAGTATACATATTCCAGCTGGTATTGTGTATAGTAAGCTTATGGCACAAATTGATGCATCAGTTATTAGTACTGTTAATGGTACTAGAATAAAACCAAATATTGATTTTATTAAACGAAATAAAAGAGTTGAAATGTTTTCTTCACTTCTCAAGAAAGCTAGCACTTGCCCTAACTTTGATATCAATGCCACTACAAATGATGGTGAGTCATTACTTCATTTAGCATCACGCAGTGGCAGTACATTACTAGTGAAAGCATTAGAAGAATATAATATCAATTGTACATTAACTAATGATGGTAAATCTCCAGTACATAATGCTGCCTGGTCAGGTTCTACTAGTGTATTAAGTTATATCATATCTCAGTATAATCTCAATGCTAATGATGTTGATACTTATGGTTGTACACCATTAGTCTACTCCTGCTGGTCAGGTAGTATTAATTCCGTTAAATATCTTATTAATAATCATAACAGTGATCCTAATATCACTGATAATGATGGTATAACATGTCTTCGTCATTCTTGTCGCAATGGTCATATTGATATCACTCAATATCTCATTGAGGTACAGCATTGTGATATTAATAAAACAGTTAATGAAGGACACACGTTAGTACATCATGCTGCATGGAATGGTAACTTTGATTTAGTTCAGTATCTTATTACTGAACAAGGTTTGTCTCCTACTGCAGTTGATAAGGTTGGCCTCACTGCTTTACATTATGCCTCAGGGTCTCTTAACTTATCTCTTGTTAAAGAATTAATAACTACTTATCAGTTAGATCCTCATCAAGCTGACAGTAATGGTAAGCTACCAATTCATTATGCTGATCAATCTGGTGATATTTTACTACTGGAATTATACGTGAAGGATTACAAGTGTAGTCTGAGCCTAACAGATAACAAAGGTTGGAATGCTATTCATTTTTCATCATTTAAAGGTCACACTCACTTTATCAAACATATCACCAGTCAGTATCCTCAATACATTAGTTTACTACACTCTACTAACAATGAGGGTAACATACCATTGCATTTAGCCTGTGAGAGTGGTAATATTCAATTGGTCACATTTCTAATAAATGATATGAAATGTGATGTCAATGCTAAGGATACACATGATCAAACATGTGTCATGTATGCCTGTTTCTCAGGTAATCTTGATCTAGTACAATTACTAATACAACAGTATAAGCTTGAGCCTATCAATATTAATAACACTGGTTTCTCAGTATTACATGCAGCAGCACAGACTGGCCATACTCATATACTGGAATGGTACAGTCAGGAGTATAGTGTGGATATTACTAATTACACTGACAATAACAAGTACACACTAGCTCATTATGCTGCTTATAAAGGTAAGCTACATTGTCTACAGGAACTGATCAACAAGTATCAGTGTGATGTTAATGCCACTAACACTGATGATGGTAGCATAGTTCTTCATAAGGCATGTGAAAGAGGCCATGTTCCTGTTGTACTTTATCTCACTAGTCTTCCTCAGTGTAATGTAGCAGCTAAGACTTCTAATGGATCAACAGTTCTTCACATTACCTGTGAGTACAGTGACTCTCTTCCTATACTCAAACATCTAGTAGAGAATCATCAGTTAGATCTGTGTGCTGTGAATGATAAGGGAATGGCTCCTATTCACTTAGCATGTGGTAATGGAAGATTGAACTTGATCCAGTACATTATAGAACACATACCATCATCACTTGAACTACCTCACAGTAAGCATGGTCATACTCCATTCCTTGCTGCAGTGTACTTCAATCAGTTAGAAGTTATTAAATATCTTATTAGTAAGAAGTGTAATCTATCAGCTACTGATGTTATAGGGTCTGGAGCAGTTCACATATCAGTATGGAGGGGTCACTTGAATGTATTAAAGTATCTCATTGTTGATAATAATTATTGTAATCCTAATGCAACTGATCATAAAGGCTGTACACCACTACATGTTGCTGTAGCAGATAATAAATATGAAATATTAGAATATTTACTGAGTAAGAGTATACCCTCAATGAGTGTTGTCTGGTTACGTAAGATAAAGTGTTTATTAGACAGTCCTCATGACATATACAATAATCCACATAATGCTGTACTTATTAATGTACAAGATAAAGATGGTAATACACCATTACATGTAGCCTGTCAACGTGAACGACAGAATATGGTATCACTATTACTAAAAGCCAGTCTGTCTAACAATAACTTATTAATTACTAACAAGAAAGGACAGACACCATTACACTTAGCAGCTGCCTCTGGTCATAAGGATACCGCTGAAGCTTTACTGTTCTCAGTCACTGGTAGTTCTACTCATCATGATCTCCTTACAGCTACTGATGATGAAGGATCCACTGTATTACATACAGCTTGCAGTAATGGCCATATTGATGTGTTTCGTTATTTATCCAGTATTTATCCCTCAGGTGTTAATGTAAT